CCTCCATGCACGTAGAGCCGGGAAGGAGGCACAGGGGGCGGAAGTTGTAGCAAAATGGCATGCATTCAATAAACCTAGTTTGGCTGATTTCTCTGCCCAGGACTCCATCTGTTTCCACTCCTTTTTTTCCTGTTCTGTTACTTTAAGCTACAAGTTTAACCCCTTTCCCTTAACGTCACGAAGCAACAGGGCTATGGTCTTCCGACAGCAGGGGCAACCAGCTTGATTCCTATTACAACGGAGAGATTCCGCCAGCGTGAGTGGCCTCATGCCTGTCAATCCCTACGCACTTCTGGGAGGCCGGGGCGGGTAGATCGCCTGAACTCAGGAGTTCAAGACTACCTGGGCAACAGGTCGAAACCGCTCTACTAAACACAAAAAAAAGCTGCGGCATGCTGGTGTGCACCTGTAATCCCAGCTACAATTGGGCAAGGCATGAGACCAGCGAGAATTCTTGAACTTCTTGGGAGGCAGAGGCGTTGCGGTAGCCGAGACTGTGTCACTGCAGCTCCAGCCTGGGTGAAGAGTGAGACTCCATCTCAAAAAAAGAAAAACAGATTCGAACTGCAGAAAGAAAGAACAGAAAAGTACCTGTTTCTGGATCTTTTCATTTCTTTCTTCCCCCTTGAGAGGGCTCATGATCCGTGTCCACCCGCAGGCTGGAATGCAGTGGTGAATCTCGGCCCTCACCAACAACCCTCCACCTCGCTGGGCTTTAAGTGAGACTTCTCCTCAACCTCACTCCCAATAGCCTAGGACTGGTGCGGCTGTGTACCACCCACGCCCATCCTCAACTTTTGTGTTTTTTTGCGTGAAAGGGGCGGTCTCACCATGATTGCCCAGGCCTAGCTCAAATGATCCCGCCACCTTGGCCTCCCCAAAGTCCTCAGAGTTACAAACATGACCACTGCACTCCGGGCCTGGATTCATTCTTTAGATTCCCCCCTTGCGTCCACAGGTACACACAGACGGTACCCTGTCAACCTTGGTCACCTGCGATGAAATGACTCAAAGACACTCAACCGTTTCAGATCTATCCTTCTTTTCAGTCCCTTGTGCTTTCCCTCTCTGACATGCCCCAACTTCAGTTCCTTTCATGTTCTCAGTCGTCTCAAACCATGTGAATATCACAACTCCTACATAAAAACGCGCGTTGACCTATAACGGTCCCTAAACAAAACCAACTTTCATTTCCCCGACTGCCATTAGCACAAAACAAATCACAGTTTTTGGACTTGCACCAAACTGAAATCTCCTATTCGAGTCCTAGGCCCATTCCACTGGGCATATCTCATCGGCGAAGACAAGATCCAAAGAGGAAGGAGCATAGTGGACTGAGACCGCACTCAGTGGGGAGACCAACGTTCGATCTCTTGGACCCCGGCCCAGCTCTTGAACAAACCGCACAGAACAGATGGAATAATCACCATCCAAAACAAAACAAAAGGGCTTAAGCATGACAGGGAGACTATTTATTAGCAATGGCACCAGGGAACCAGTTTCCCTCCCACAGGTAGAAGGAACTGGACGAATTGGCAAAGCTAAGGGGGGAGTCTTGTGCAAAGGGGTGGAGCTGGGCAATTGAAAGGCTGAAGGCCCCGGCTCAGCTGAAACAGAGGGTCCCACAGGGCAGGAGAGCCAGACCCTCCCTCCCCAGCCCAGGCCTGCCCACGTGTCCCTGGTTTCGTCTCCCGCCAGGCCCCACCCCGGCCTTCCCACACAGTAGACGTTCCCTCCAAGGTGCTAGGCCACCTTCTCACCCTTGAGAAGCTCCCCAGAAAGTCTCCCTTGCTCCCCTCTTGTTTCAAAATTTATATTTAGAAGGTCAAAGTCTATTTCTGATAGGCCCCAGAAAACATCCGTCCTCCGCTAAGAACAATCTGTAGAAACTGGGCCAGGTTCTGTCTCTTTCCTGTCAATGTTTCAAATCGGGCCAGCAGAGCGTCTGAGCCAGACTGCAAGGGCGTGCAGAACCCCGAGAAAAAGGTGCATTCACCATCCATCCTAGCCACAGCTCGAGGGACCAAGGACCGCCCTTCCTTCCCCCTCCTCTCCAACAACACGTCAGCTTGCAACCCCGAGGTTACAGGAGAGGGAGGCAGACTGTGTTTCTAACAAGAAATTTGGGACTAAAACTAAGACCACTAAGAGTTAATCAAGCGGAGAATCAAACCGTGACTAGCGCAGGCAGATCAGGATGCACTCCACAGCCAAGCGAGTCTTCCTAACAAAACCACTAAGACCCACCTTGGCCGGGCGCAGTGGCTCACACCTGTAATCCCATCACTTCGGTAGGTCGAGGCGAGTGGATCACCTAAGGCCAGGAATTTGAGACCAGCCTGGCCAACATGATGAAACCCAGTCTCTAAAAACCAAAGCAATATCCTCGGCCTGCCTCCAACAGAAAGCTCCTCTACCTCTCGCCTCCAGCAGTGGGGGAGGAGGCAACAGGAGCAAGTGTAGCAAAATGGCATGCATTCAATAAACCTAGTTTGCTATTTCTCTGCCAGGGACTCCATTTTCCACTCCTTTTTTGTTCTGTTTATTTAAGCTACAAGTCTTAACCCTTTCCTTAGTCAGAAGCAACAGGGCTATGTCTTCGGACAGCAGGGCAACCACTTGATTCCTATTACAACAGAGATTCCGCCAGGTGCGGTGGCTCATGCCTGTAATCCTAGCACTTTGGGAGGCCGGGGCGGGTAGATTGCCTGAACTCAGGAGTTCAAGACTAGCCTGGGCAACATGGTGAAACCCGTCTCTACTAAAACACAAAAAATAAGCTGGGCATGCTGGTGTGCACCTGTAATCCCAGCTACTTGGGAGGCTGAGACAGGAGAATCTCTTGAACCTGGGAGGCAGAGGTTGCGGTGAGCCGAGACTGTGTCACTGCACTCCAGCCTGGGTGACAGAGTGAGACTCCATCTCAAAAAAAGAAAAAACAGATTCGACTGCAGAAAGAATAGAACAGAAAAGGTCTACCTGTTCCTGGATTTTTCATTTCTTTTTTCCCCCTTGAGAGGGTCTCATGCTCTGTCACCCAGGCTGGAATGCAGTGGTGCAATCTCGGCTCACCACAACCTCCACCTCCTGGGCTTAAGTGAATCTCCTACCTCAGCCTCCCAAGTAGCTAGGACTTGGGTGTGTACCACCACGCCCAGCTAATTTTTGTGTTTTTTTGGTAGAAAAGGGGGTCTCACCATGTTGCCCAGGCTAGTCTCAAATGATCCGCCCACCTTGGCCTCCCAAAGTCCTCAGATTACAAACATGAACCACTGCATCCGGCCTGGATTCTTCTTTAGACTTCCCCCTTGTCCACAGGTACACAGAGGTAACCTGTACCTGGTCACTGATGAAATGAACTCAAAAGACACTTCAAGTGTTTCAGATCTATCTTCTTCAGTCTTGTCTTCCCATCTTCTGACATGCCAATTCAGTTCTTTCATGTTTCATGTCTAAACCATGTGAATCTACAACTTACTAAAAAGCTTGACCTATAAGGTCCTAAACAAAAGCCAACTTTATTTCCCCGACTGCATTAGACAAAACAAATCACAGTTTTTGGACTTGCACAAACTGAAATCTCCTATTCTAGTCCTAGCCCAATTCACTGGGCATTCTTCATCGGGAAGAAGATTCCAAGGGAAGGAGCTGGTGGGCTGAGACCACTCAGTGGGGAGGACCAACTTGATCTCTGGACTCCCGGCCCAGGCTCTTTGAACAAAGCACAGAACAGAGACTCCTAGGCATTCTCAGAATGAAGAACCACAGGAAGGCCATTAAAATTAAAAGACACTCTAACACCTGCCAGGAACGGTGGCTCACACCTGTAATCCCAGCACTTTGGGAGGCCGAGGCAGGTGGATCACGAGGTCAGGAGTGTGAGACCACCCTGGTCAACATGGTGAAATCCTATCTCTACTAAAAATACAAAAATTAGCCAGGCATGGTGGCAGGCGCCTGTAATTCCAGCTACTCAGGAGGCTGAGGCAGGAGAATCGCTTGAAATCGGAAGGCAGAGGTTGCAGTGAGCCGAGATCCCGCCACTGCACTCCAGCCTAGGTGAAAAAGTGAAACTCCGTCTCAGAACAACAACAAAAAAAGATACACAAACAAAAGATTGCACTGCGGTTTATCTAAAGTGACCTTTAAAGAAACAACCTAGGCCGGGGCGTGGTGGCTCACACCTGTAATCCCAGCACTTTGGGAGGCTGAGGCAGGCGGATCACCTGAGGTCGGGAGTTTGAGACAAGCCTGACCAACATGGAGAAACCCCATCTCTACTAAAAACACAAAATTAGCCAGGGCGTGGTGGAGCACGCCTGTAATCCCAGCTACTCGGGAGGCTGAGGCAGGAGAACTGCTTGAACCTGGGAGGCGGAAGTTGTGGTGAGCCGAGATTGCGCTCCAGCCTGGGCACCAAGAGCGAAACTGTCTTTAAAAAAAAAAAAAAAAAGGAACAACCTACTGATTAAAAATGACTCACATTCCCAGTGTGGGGCACCGTCTATTGACCTGGAAAGATGTCTGTGATGTTATGTTAGACAAAAGCCAAAAACAGAAAGTGCTTACCGTAAGGTGCAGGTGAGGACAGCAAAACATCTACTTGTTTAAGACGTGTCTATTTAAATCATGGAAGAAGTTAACACAGGAGAGGCAGTGACAGGGAACCCTGCCCTGGGACCAAGGACCCTTTGGCCAGGGTGCAAAGCCCTCCTGAAGAAGCAAGCAGATGTCTACCAGGAATCAGCTCCTAGCCAAAGCCAAGCGTCAGGAAACTTGAGCATGAAGACCCCGCTATCCCCGTGCGACTCTCAGGAAGTGAGAAAAGCCGAGCCTCACCGTGTGGTTAGCGCCACAGGCCACGTCTCGCACAACCACGTTTGGTACAGGCAGAATCTGTCCATCTTTTGTCTTCTCAATGAAGATGGCCACTCGCCGGGGAACTAGTTCACAGTCATACTCTATCCGCTGTGCCCGGGCGATGAACTTCCCATCTGAGTTGTGTCCTGTAGAGACCACAGAGCCGGCCATCAGCGGCAGCACAAGCACAAGAGACGTGTCACTGTGCCCACACAGAGTCTGTAGTGAGCCCCGGCATCACCCCAATCTGGCCCTTCTGGGCCTTATACTAGCACACGATGGTCAACAAGGGCAGCGTTTCCAATCTCAGGCACAGCACAGTGAGCGGGTCAGTGAAATCAATTTTGTGTCCTGAGACCAGTTATTTTTTAAAAACGAATAGAACAGAATGACAAAGAATACTCCACACATAATAATGCCACCATGTTATAACAATTCTAGGTAAGGTATTATAGGTTCAGACTGGGTTGCAACAGAAAACTTATTTCTTACAATGGGCTGCAGTCAAAAAAGTTGAAGCTGCTGATCAAGGAATGGTCTATCAAGTAACATCTCTACTCGACTGGAGGGACCACAGGGAGCCCCTGATGGGCCAAGAATAGACAGAAAAGCTCCACACACAATCTCAGGCCTGTTTTTATGAATTACCAGTAACCTAAACATACGGTTATGGGTGGCTAAAACCTGCACTTCCCACACTCCGACTGACCCAGGGACTGGTTCGCAAGGACCCAGCTCAGCACACCACACAACAGGAGACCGGCTGCTCCAGTCCTGAGAACATGCCAGATACCCATGCTCCTGCAGGCACCCGCAGCAGCAGGGCTGCTGAGTACTTTGTAGTTTTAAACTGCTCCTATTCCTACATTGTGATCATCAGTTTGGTTGGGCATGGTGGGTCACGCCTGTAATCCCAGCACGTTGGGAGGCCAAGGCGGGTGGATCACCTGAAGTGAGGTGTTCAAGACCAGCCTGGCCAACACAGTGAAGTCCTGTCTCTACTTAAACAAACACAAGGCTGGGCGCAGGGGCTCATGCCTATCATCCCAGCACTTTGGGAGGCTGAGGTGGGCAGATCACGAGGTCAGGAGATTGAGACCATCTTGGCTAACATGGTGAAACTATCTCTACTAAAAATTACAAAAATTAGCCGGGCATGGTGGCGGGCGCCTGTAGTCCCAGCTACTCAGGAGGCTGAGGCAGGAGAATCACTTGAAGCTGGGAGGTGGAGGTTGCAGTGAGCAAAGATCAGGCCACAGCACTCTAGCCTGGGTGACACAGCAAGACTCCGCCTCCAAAAAAAAAAAAAAATGTTATGTCAGTTTGTAAACGAGCCCCTCAGCTTGTGGCTAATCCCCCTCCATATGGCACGCTTGTGTACACCTCAGCCCTTACTGGTATGTGTGGTTTTGAGCACTGTGCTATTTAAATAGCCCTCCACAGCCACAGGTTCAACCAACTGTGGTACAAAAACATCTGGGGGGAGGGGTAAACAAGAAAAAAAAGATAATACAAATAATACAAGTAAGACCATATAGTAGAACTATTTACATGACATTTACATCACATTAGGTACCGAAGTAATCTAGAGATGATTTTAAGTATATAGGTTACATGCAAATACGATGCCATTTTATATAAGTTGCTTAAGCATCTGCGGATCTTGGTATCCACAGGGGGTACCGGAAGCAATCCCCCAGGTAACCAAGGAGCAGCCGTACCCTGGAATCACAACTAAACCATGCACAGTACAATTACTGGGCTTGTTTACAGGGCGTTGCTTTATAACACTCATAAGCAGGTTCCATTATGACAACAGTTCTCTGCTGTTGACATAATCCATTCCAGTGGAATGTCTGTCCATTTAAAAGTCTGAGGGTCTTGGCTGGGCGCAGTGGCTCATGCCTGTAATCCCAGCACTCTGGGAGGCTGAGGCGGGCGGATCATGAGATCAAGAGATCTAGACCATCCTGGCCAACATGGTGAAACCTCGTCTCTACTAAAAGTACAAAAATTAGCCAGGCATGGTGGCACACACCTGTAGTCCCAGCTACTTGGGAGGCTGAGGCAGGAGAATCGCTTGAACCCAGGAGGCAGAGGGTGCAGTGACCTGAGATCACGCACTGCACTCCAGCCTGGCCACAGAGTGAGACTCTGTATCAAAAAAAAAAAAAAAAAAGAAAAAAAAAAGTCTGAGGGTTCCCACTAAGAAATTCCCCCACCTTCTAGGATATGAAGAATTTAAGGACATCATAGCAAATAGAATGCACTTCAGGATATGGACGCTACTTCTCTCACAAAAATGGTATTTTTAAACACTTGCATTCTTCTGGACAAGGTTTCAGCACGGCAGTCAACAAATGATTAGAGTCCCTTTATTTGCTACCGACACAGTGGATACTGAACAGACACAATCCCCAGACAGTAGAGGAGGCATATTTGGGGACTGTTTTTCCCACCTCCTTTAAAAAGCTGCACACATCTGCTTTCTCCAGAAGTACAGAACAGAAACTACTCCAGAAAACACGGAACAGGGGGCTTCCCTGTCCCTCTAGAGAGGTGACAGTTCTTTAAAATAAAGTTAAATGGCATGGCCTGGCACAGTGGCTCATGCCTGTAATTCCAACACTTCGGGAGGCCGAGGCGGGTAGATCACTTGAGACCAAGAGTTTGAGACAAGCCTGGTCAACATGGTGAAACCCCGTCTCTACTAAAAATACAAAAAAGTTAGCTGGGTGTGGCGGTGGGCGCCTGTAGTCCCAACTACTCGGGAGGCTGAGGCAGGAGAATCATTTGAATCCGGGAGGTGGAGGTTGCAGTGAACTGACATCACACCACTGCACTCCAGCCTGGGCGACCGAGAGACTCCGTCTCTCTTATATTGGCATTGCCCAGCCCAGTAAGTGCACCGCAAAAAAGGGGGCACAAGGCATGAGTGTGTGTGGGTGAGACACGGCCACAGTCGGATTTAGGTTCTCATTCTAAAGGTGATCTACCTGGATTTGGACAACGAAACAAAAACCTGCCTTAAAACAAGTAATACACTGAGAATAAACGATTCTGTAGCTACAAATCAAGCCAATCCTACAAGCTGAGTGTAACTGAGCACCTGAGAATTTGTACAAAGTACTTACATGGTGCCTGGCACATGCAGTCACTGCTCCATGAAAGTGAGCCATTTTTAATCACCAACAGCATGTCACGCTTCCTGATGGAAAATCGACTTGCCAGGGTGCAGAGGGGAGGCCGAGGCAGCAGGAGCGCGCACGTGGCAGGAAGCGGATCGCTGCTGGGCACCGCAGCAAGGCCGTGGCCATGGAAACCGCTCTCCAACTGTCTCGGGCTCCGCCCGGGCAACCAACGCAAAATGTGAAATGTGCGTAAGGGGCTGTTCTCTCTTATTCACTTCTGACTTGAGGTATATTTAGTTTCACAAAGTCACTGTTCCCCGAGGCTAAGGCCAGCGGGCTCGGCGCTATTTTTACCTTTTCCATCTGCCAGGAGCTGCGGCTGCAGGAGCAGGCGTGGCCAGCAGAGGGCGCCCGCGCCACACCTCGCGGAGGCCTCCCTAGAGAGGCTGGAGGCGGAGCCGCAAAGGGGAACCACACTTCGGGGTGGGACAGGAAGGAGAACTGAGACCACCAAGTCGCCAAGACACTCCCCCCACTGACTGAGAACTGATTTCTGAATTCTCCTTTTCTACCAATTAGATCGAAGAAACAAGTCTCTGGACAACCAGATTCTGGCTAGGGATGACGCACGGGGAGGGGGTCCACCGGGGCTCCTCACGTGGCAACCTGAAATAATCGCCCAGGCCAGGGTTTCCAGAACAACCTTCACCTTGTGTAATTTTCTCATTTTCAATAAAGGCATAATCTTTAAATGTGAAATTGAATGAAGGTGGCCTGATTTTTTTTTTTAAACTTTGAAATCCTTTTATATAAATGAATTCCCAAATCACAAAAAAAGAAATCTTTTGTCACACTCCAGTCCCAACTTTTCCATTGAGGCAGTGTTGCCATACTCCACAATCCTGTGAATGAGGACGCGCTGTTCCGCTGAACGTGAGATCCACTTAATGGACAAAGGCTATTATCTGAGATCAATTACCCACATTTCTAACACGTGTGTGCAGCCACACAGCGATCTCTGGTTCTGAATATACACAACTAGATTAAAGCTTTTAAAAAAATGTACTTCCATACCCAGCTGACCATATTCAGGGCACCCAAAGGAATAGAGGTTTCCTTTGCAGTCCATTATCATACTGAATTCAGCCCCACAGGCCATTTTGGTAATTGGCTGGCCGTTGTACATTATCTGAAAAGAAAAGAAAGGAGACTTTCATTTTTTTTTTTAAAGACTGATAAAAAGCCTCTACCTCTCTGCATGTTGGTGGGAAACAATTACTAGGTTACAAAGGGAAGTTTAATAAACTCAACAATTCTGAAGGCAAAAGCTGACGGCATTTCTAGAACACAAAGCTTAGAAGATATGTAAAGAAGCACCCTCACACCCCCCACCTTCCCAGCACAGAGCACAGTTCAAAGCCTAGCCACTGTCTCTTTTTAAGATCAATAAGACCAAGTCCTTCCCTTCCTTCATCACCTAAACCACTAATTAGGCACTTAGCATTCTTCTGCCATTAGCAGTAGTTTGTTTTTAAGGTATAAATCTCACCCTTCCAACTCAAGTTTCTTAGGAAAAAAAAGACTGCCTATCTTTTATTTGTGTTCTAAGAACCTGGCTGGTGACTTTATACAAGGTCAAAACAAAGTATTTGCACGTAAGTACAATTACATCCTACAACATGTCTCACTTTCTTTGGAACAGAACAGGCTTACGACAAGGCATTTCTAACACATTTCTCCACTTGGAAACAAAATGTTTTCAGGATGGTTTTCAACCTGACCACAGACTACGCCTGTTTTAAAAACTACAGCAAGGCTGTGCACAGTGGCTCACACCTGTAATCCCAGTACTTTGGGAGGCCGAGGTGGGCAGATCACCTGAGGTCAGGAGTTCCAGACCTGCCTGACCAACATGGAGAAACCCCGTCTCTACTAAAAATACAAAATTAGCCAGGGGTGGTGGTGCACGCCTGTAATCCCAGCTATTCTGAAGGGTGAGGCAGGAGAATCACTTGAACCTGGGAGGCGGAGGTTGCAGTGAGCGGAGACTGCACCATTACACTCCAGCCTGGGCAACAAGAGCGAAACTCCGTTCTCAAACACAAACAAGAACAAAAACAAAAAAAAAAACCCTACAGCATATAACTAAACATCCAGGACCTCTTTTTACAAGGGGTGAATTAACTCAAACAACGGAGACCCCACCTCAGAAAATCAAACACAAAAGTAAAGAGAAAGGAAAAGCCGCGGAGCCGGAGCTGAGGAGGCGTCACCTGCGCGGGGCTGGGGACGGCGTCTGTCTGGTTGCCAAGGCCCAGCTGCCCCATCTTGTTTTCCCCAAAAGCAAACACGGAACCCGTTTCTGGAAGGAAAGAAAAATATCACAAAAGGGAAGATAATGGTGAATGTTTTGAACTACATTTAGAACCAAAAGCATCAAAGTAATAAAAACAGCTCATTTGCCAGGCAGAAGGCAAGTGAGACTGCCCAAAAGCCGGCAGTGCAGACGCTTCACAACAAAGTCATTTCACATCAGAAACTGGGTGTGCAGAGATACACAGGGCAGCGTCTCCCACTCCCAGATGGGCCTCCTATGGCCACTGGGGAGGCTCCCAATGCCCTCAAGAAGCCACTCCATACCCAGGTTCTCAGGGCCTCTTTCTGATCTTCACCAAGAGTCACAAGGGTAACTCCACCCCTCCCCCCACGCCCCATCCCCGAGGCAGACCATTTGGCCTCTTGCCAAACTAAGAAACACCAGCAGCCAGCCCCCTCCTTACCCGTCAAGGCCAAGGTGTGGTTCCGCCCACATGCTGCAGACACAATCACTTCGTGGCTGAGACCCTCGATGAGTCTGGGGGCTTCTACTCTCTTGGTGTCACCATGTCCCAGCTGCCCCTTCTCATTTCGACCTGCAGATCACATGAGAGAAAGTAGAAAAGAGAGAGGGTGGTCCAGGTGGCACCACCAGGCGAAGGCGAGTACCAACACACTCTCAAATGACGCCCATCTGTGTCTCCGGAAGGCACCCTCCAAATTCCCAACAGCAGCCAAGATCCAGAGCAAAGACCATCCCGGCCTTCTGCCCACTGGAATGGCACCTGCTGCAGCTCCCCCGACCTCCTTCCCTGGGGCAGCAGCGGGACCACCGGTGCGCACCTCCCACATCTCTGCTACAAAGGGAAACGAGAGGCGCCGTATGGTACGGACACCAAGCACAGGCGGGCATGCTCAGAGAAACACGCTGTTCCCACTTGGAGTGCCCGCAAGACAACCACCCCGTCGCTACCCTCTGAGATGTGTTTTAAGACAGCACCCATTTTGACACCTGGCTCACCAGAGTTTAATCCCTTTGGTGCTCTGGGCATCCACTGAGGACTATTTGCTGTCTGCCCAATATTTCTCCTCCTTTTTCTACCCTGTAAATGGTGCTCACAGAACAGTGCCAATCCTACCCCTAGGGATCACCCCTCAAGGGCTCTCAGCAACAGGAACCCTGGTGACAAAGCGCAGATCTGCCCTGAACACAACAAGCCCAGCCCCACCTCCAGGGCTGCTGCAGGTGCAACCAAGGCCCTGCACCTGTGAATTCCAGTGGAAGACAGGCCTGAGGGCCAACCCCTGCCCCCGAGTCCTCTGCAGCACCAAATTCAGCTCCAAAACAGACGTGGAAGTTGGGTGGTCCAAAAGGAGGGCTGGGAGCCCCTACACCTCATCTACGTTTCAACACAGACTACCAAGTTCCAAAACAAAAATTCAACCGGCCCCTCTCAGATCCCTCCCGACAAGAGAAGAACCACACCTGTAACCTAACGTTTGGGGATACTGACGGAGATCTTACAGGAGTGAGAAGTCAGAGTGATTCTAGGGGGTTTTGCAACCTTCTCCAGCAATGAACTTTTCACCCTTAGGTCGTGATAAAGGCAGACAGCAGAGCCATTAAGATAAGTTCCAGCTGCCTTGGAGAAGGCCTGCAGGAGCAGCCTCTGACTACAGAAGGAATTGCGACTAAGGGAAACCAGCCTCTGACTCGCTCTCTAAAGAATGGCAGGCTGAAGGGCCAACACTGGCACTCGAGCAGGAGAGGCAGACACACCAGCTTCCAATGGGAGCTGCCCAAGTTCACGGTGAAAGGCAAGTGAATACAGAGCAACAAGAGCGAGGCTCAGTGGACCGAGTTGCCACAGGACGGCGGGGGGGGGGCCACAGACGGAGACCCCCCATGAGCAATGCGTCAGCCACCCTCCCGTGACACTCTACACTCACACCAGACGGTGCCCCTCTGCCTTCTGGATGGCAAGCAGTGGGCCTGTGATACCTCCAACCCTGTCCTCATGTACTGCACTGTCTGCTCGGGGATCACACGTCTCGATGGCGGGACATACATTGTCCCTGCCCACAGAGTCAGAACCGAGGGCGCTTTTAGAGCCACCAAGCAAGTGAAGCTCAGCGAGAGATCAGAACTAAGGTGTTTTAGGTTTGGAACACTGACATAAAAGGCTGTGTTCAGTGTTAGAACACGAAGTAGGAGGGGTGCTCTGGGGGAAGGGACACACATCTGTGCCAACCGGGATGCCAACCGGGGGAAAACAAAAACTCTGGCAATGTCAGCATGCCATCAAGAGACTATAAAGTATAAATTTGGGCCAGACACACTTTAGCTTTTTTCAACAGAAATTACAAAATTAGCCGTGTGCAGGGAAGACAACAGATGTTAATATATTTGGACTTTGGTACAGCAGCTCATGAAATCACAAAAAAACAGTTCAAACAGCCCAAAATAAAAATGCAGTCACATATGGACTAAAAGCTAGCCAGAGGACCAGCAACAAAGGGTGAGGACAAACGCCAACATACCCCGCTGGAGGCAGAGGCCAGGAGCCACCCAAAGGGCTGGGGATAAAATGAGCCTTAGCCCACACCCTATGGCTGGAATGATCTGGAAGAGGCTGGAATGATCTGGAAGAAGACACAGGCAGGAATGGGCTGGCCAGCTGCAGAGGACAGTGCCGTGGACAGAGGCTAACGGAAGAACTGGAACCCATCCCGAGTGCCCAGGTGAGGAAAAACAGAAGGGAAAGGCAAACAACTTCAAAAAAGGAAACTGAGGTATCTGGGGAAATATCCTAAGAAGCAGACAACATGGACAGTGAGCGACCAAGCCTGCAGAACAGACTTGCGCAGATCTCAGACACGAGGGCAAGGCGGCAGGGACGCAGCATCCTATGACATAAGGTGGCAGGTATAAAAGCCAGTGGCATTTCAAGTGGCAGGAACAGAGGTCTCATGTCATATCATGCCTCAAAGAGGAAGGAAACTGTCTGCTGGAAGGACAGCCTGCCTAACACATTCACATACCTCAGTATCAGAAAGATCAAGCTCCGGGCAGAAGATTCAAGAAAATATTGCTTAAACACAAAGAATCGAAAAAGTAGGGGCTGCGTACGGGCCAAAAATGTCAGGGGGAGGAAGGGGATCTGCATGTAGCGTGTAGACAAGAGACGAGCTGGGAATCAGGAAAAAAGACGTGGGCTGTGAACGAAGGAACCCAGCCTTCTAAGACGCGAGTCTCTTTTCCAGGCAAACAGAAGAAAATGCTGTGTGGGGACAGCTGGTGACAGTGGTCCCCAGTGCCCAGCCCCCACGCGGTACTCACCCCAGCTCCACAGCTTCCCTTCCGTGGTGATGAGGAGGCTGTGTGCAGCACAGGAGCCCGAGACCACTGTCCGTACCCGGACCCCCGCCAGGCACCCATACCTATGGGGCCCCCACAAATTCTGACCGAGATTGCGGTAAGCAGCTGCAGAGAGAATGAGAATGCAGATCAGACACCTGGGGGTGGGTGGGGTGACCTCCAAAATGTCACTAGCCACCAAGAAGCCACTTCCCGAGGTTACCAGACACAGGTGTTCCTTGGGTGCCGCCCTGACGTGGCTGTTGGGAGGCTGCACAAGGATCGGGTTTGCACTTCTAATCTCTGTGATGCCTCTGAAGGCCCAAAAAACAGAATGCCCAGGAGCTGGCACAGGCCTGGCGTCACCTGCCACCTTTACACCCATTCGGCCCCAGCCCCTTCTATGGGTCCCACCTCTCACAGGCCTCAGCCCCACGTGCTCTGCCATTGAGCACGCCCACCCACAAGTGCCTGGGACCTGGTGCGAGGCCTGTCCAGGAGGCAGGAGTGCTGGCTTTCCACAGCCGTCAGCTGAGGAAGAAGCTGACCCAGGAAACCCCGCTCGCCCTGACAGTCACCTGCCCCTCTTCCTCACTCCCTGCTGCCGCCCCGCCTCTCCTTTCCCAGGCTCTCCTGCCCTCCATCTCCAGCCTCCACCCTGGGCCAGAAGGCTCTTTCTGAGGAGTGACCCAAGTGTCCTGTCTTCCAGTGTTCCCAGCAGGTCCATCAGGCCCCTCGCGGAGGGGCACTGCTCACACAGCATCCCTCCCACCTCCCCCTCCTTTCTCACCCGTCCAGAGTGGCAGCCACTTCATGACTCCCCACCTCCACCCATATATTCACTTCCCCTAGAATGTCCTTCCCACCTCCGACTTATTCCCCAAAGCTCAAGTCAAGCACCAGTTCCCCTCCTCGGGGAAGCCCTCCAGGGCAACATCCACTGAGAAATCTCCTTCCCTCAGGGCTTCCCTGCCCCAGCCCTGCTCAGCCCTGCTCAGCCCACCACAGCTCTCTTCCTGAGCTCCCCGGCCCTCCCACTCCATGAGAAGCCACCCAGGGCCAAAGCTGTAGGCTCCCTCCAGCCTAGACCCTCACAAATGCCTGGCACGCAGAGAGCGCTCAATGGGAGAGAAAAGAAACAGCGCCTTCCTCACAAACCCCACTTCACACCCTATTAGTGGATGGGACAGGGCCAATGTTTTACATAATTTTTTAAAGTAATTTTTTACTTTTTTTTTTGGGAGACAGAGTCTCACTCTGTTGCCCAGGCTGGAGTGCAGTGGCGTGATCTCAGTTCACTGCAACCTCCGCCTCCTAGGTTCAATCGATTCTCCTGCCTCAGCCTCCCGAGTAACTGGGATTAGAGGCGTGTGCCATCACACCCAGCTAATTTTTGTACATTTAGTAGAGAGGGTTTCACCATGTTGGCCAGACTAGTCTTTAACTCCTGACCTCAAGTGATCCACTCGACTCAGTCTTCCGAAGTGCTGGGATTACAGGCATGAGCCACCATGCCCAGCAATCTTAATTTTTGAAATTGAGATGCTCAAGAATATTTCCGGGACTGTGGTGATTATCCTGAAATGCTAGCCACTGCCGAATCCAGTGTGTAAGACTGATCCAATGTAGGAACTGATCAAAAGGCTACAATGTATCTATCAAGCGCCTGGCTCCCTGGAAAGTATCTGTGAAGTTCGTTTGTGCCCCACCCTCCGCTCCCAGCAGAGGGCGCCACATGCTCCCTCATTCAGGTGCAGGGGCAAGTGGGCAAGACTCCTGGTCGCAGGGGGCAGGGGCCAGCCTATCCCACCTGGCACCTGAGGCAGCACACCTGCAGACACCTCCCCTGAAAGGAGGAAAAAGAACATCAACAATTTCCTGGGGAAAGAGCAAACCAAAAATAAAAGCCTCATGGTCTATATTAAAACTTAAGAAAAACCCAAGGAGGTGGCACCTAAATTAAGATTCAGGAACTGTATTAATACAAAACTTAGAAGGGAAAAAGGGAAACCTAAGGTCTCTTTGTCATGAAGACAAAATGACGGCATGACTGACGAGTATCATCACGACCCTGTGCCACGGCACAGGAGGCCAGGGGATGCCAGGCAAGGGTGTGGTGCCACACTTGACCTAGATTGGCCAAGGGGAGTCTCAGGTGGTCAGATGCTCCTGGACTTACCAAAGCATCTTTCCCTGCAGTGCCCAGGATGCCATCAGCTCCTGAGGAGCAGGCTTGGGTTTCTTCTGGCCTCCCAAGGAAGGGCTGGAGGGACTGGAGGGACCAGGCGGGGGAGCAAGTCAAATTAAATGCCCTGCAGCAGTCCCAGGCCCTGCAGTCAGACTGAGAAGTCAATTCCCATGGCCTCCGGATCCCTGGGGTCTGGTCCTAATCACAGAGCTATGTGTGGATTGCTGTGCTATCTTGCAAAAAACAAGACATCCAGGGTGCTGGTTTTCACCAGATCTACAGCAACATACATGTACAGGAGGCAACAGAGTTAACTAGAGGGTGGGACTCCAACCCTGGCCCTGCCACTCGCTTCCTTTGGTATTTACTGCCCTTCTCTGGGCTTTTGTATCTTCAGTGTCAAGTGGCTGCTCAGTTGAAGAACAGCTTTGAAAAATGACGCAATACGGGCACAGGACTGGCAGCAAGGCACCATCAGCACCTGGGCTTACGTCACTGCAGACCAGGAGGCGCTTCTCTGGGACACCAGCCACTGTGTGGACGTGGCCCCCTCCTGGCTTGAGCCTGAAGGCTGGGCATTTTCCAAACAAGATGTTGCTGCTACCTGCAACTTAAACCCATTTCTAACTCAGCTAGCCCCCAGGTACTGCTGATTCATAAGCTGTTTTCATGGAACAAGGTGATTTCCAACGCCCCTGTTTCAAGGTGCCAAGACGTACCAGCATGCAAATATTTGTTCATGGGGCAAAGCAATGCTGGAAAGCACTTTGGGAGTCTTTCCAGATGAAATCAAGAAGCCATAAAAGTTGGCTACGTGTCAGATGGGCCATTTCCCTTAAGGTAAGACACCAGTTTTCCAAAGGTAACGGGACAAAACATTTCTTCTTAAGGACCTCTCTGCTTTCCCCCGCTCCAGACTGTTCCGTCAAACCAGTTCCTACAACAACTTGGCAGCTTGCAAAGAAACATGGACTCTTCTGCAATGTCTGACATTTTGACATCTGACATTTGACAAATGTCTAGGACATTCTGACACCATCTCACAGAGCCAGTCTCTTCATTCTAATGAAAACAAGTGACGTGAGAGGGAAGATGGAAAAGGTGGCAGTGTTCATATTTCAGGATACTACTTACATTTTCCTGATTAATCTTAACGGAATTAGTGAGTCACTGCAAAACTGTGCCTTTAAAAGACTAAGATCAGGGTTCAAATCCAGCTCTACCACTGCAGTGGCTGTGTGGTCTCAGGCAAGTCACTTGGCCTCTCTGAACATGCATGTGTAAATGAAGGGAATACCTACCAGGCAGGTGGTCAACAGAACCTAGCACTTAAGAAGCATTCAATGGGTTTAAAGACACCATTCTCATACCTTGCTGTTTAGGCACTTCTTTTCGACCAATCAAGTCCCAGTTGGTTGCCCCAAAAATCAAAAGCTGCCCTTTGCACTTTGACCCTTCAAGTTTCTGCAGAGACAGAGAAAGGAAAAAAGAATTAGCGTGTAAGTCTGCACCTAGCTTCCCAAGGCCGTCCAATGACAGCACGAAACGAAAGAAAATCACTTACTTGTTAGCCCTTATGTCACCTGTGACCTCCACACCAACAGAGTCTCCCCGCACTCCCCTCCCTCATCAGCAAGTGGCAATGCGGGCAACCCCAAACCTGCCCCCAGCCGCTCACTTGCTAAGCCCAGGCTCATTTTTATCCTTTGACTTCCCTTTAAAATAGCTTTTGCAAAACACCAAAAGAAATAACCCAAATACATGCCTCCTTCGCAAACTGATGTACAGAGGTATTTGCAGGAAGCCTGCCGGCCACTCAGGGGCATTACATCTGGCTCGTCCTAGGGCCAAGTCTCCATTTCACATGGTAAGCACAGTCCGGGACCTCAAAACCTTAGGAGCCCCACATCACTTCTGCTGCCCACTCTGCCGAGAACCTTTCCATGGGGACTCAGGAAGAAAGTAGAGAACAAGGTTCGGTTTCTCCACTGAAGGGAGACCAGGCGGAACACAGCTTTGGTGAGTATGCGGGGGTCTGATGCAGGCGGCCTTTGATGGCACCCTCAGCCGCTCTCCATGAGCCCGGGGGCCAATGGTGAGTGAAACAGGACCTCCCAGAGGCTGGGCTTCTCGAGGAACAAGCTGTCACAGCAGCCAGCATACTCCAATGTTCATCCTTAGTCTCTCAACACATAAAGTCATCAGGGCAACGAAAATCTACGCCATTTAAAAAGGCCATTGTTCAATTCTGGGTGGCACTCATAATATTCTCCGCACTTTGCTTCCTTAAATGTCAAAATATACTTTTTCAAGTAGGCTGTTAGTGGAAAACTCAATTCTGAACTCCCCACTCAGTCCGCACTGGCAAGGGCAGCATTCATTACTATTACTTTCTGCTCTTACACATTATCTTTCCTGGATGTGAAAAGGAAAGGGATTTCCTTCCGTTTACAGAATTGCTCTTGGAAGGCTTCAGGAAAAAAGGCTGGCCAGGCGCAATGGCTCACGCCTGTAATCCCAGCACTTTGGAAGGCCGAGGCGGGCAGATTGCTTGAGCTTACAGATCAGCCTGGGCAACAAGGCGAAACCTTGTCCCTAAAGAAAATACAAAAATGAGCCTGTGGTCCCAGTTACTTGGGAGGCTCAGGTGGGAGGACTGCTTGAGCTGAGGAGCTGGAGACTGCAGTGAGCCAGAATCACATCACCGCTCTCCAGCTTGGGTGACAAAGCCAGGCTCTGTCTCAAAAAAAAAAAAAAAAAAGGGCCAGGCACAGTGGCTCACCAGCACTTTGGCAGGTCAAGGCAGGCGAATCACAAGGTCAGGAGTTCAAGATCAGCCTGGCCAATATGGTGAAACCCCGTCTCTACTAAAAACACAAAAAAATTAGCCAGGCATGGTGGCGTGCGCCTGTAGTCCCAGCTACAGGAGGCTGAGGCAGAAGAATCACTTGAACCCGGGAGGTGGAGGTTGCAGTGAGCCGAGATTGTTCCACTGCACTCCCAGTGTTGCTGCCCAGGCTGGAGTGCAATGGCGTGATCTTGGCTCGCTGCAATCTCTGCCTCCCAGGTTCAAGCGATTCTCCTGCCTCAGCCTCCCAAGTAGCTGGGATTACAGACACCCAGCTAATTTTTTGTATTATTAGTAGAGACAGGGTTTCACCATGTTGGCCAGACTGGTCTCCAACTCCTGACCGTAGGTGATCCACCCACCTTGGCCTCCCAAAGTGCCGATAAAACGCCAATAAAAGTACCCAACCACGCCAATAAAAATGTATTTGTGGGCCAGGCACGGTGGCTCACACCTGTCATCCCAGCACTTTGGGAGGCCGAAGCAGGCAGATCACCTGAGGTCAGGAGTTCAAGTCCAACCGTGGTGACAAAGCCAGTCCTGTCTCAAAAAAAAAAAGAGAGAAAGAAAAAGGCCCAACATTCTAACCTCTACAGTGTTATCACCCCACCAGTATGCTTTGGCAGTACGGCTCATGCATTTCTAAGATTACATATCTTCGCCAGGTGCGGTGGCTCATGCCTGTAATCTCAGCACTTTGGGAGGCCGAGGCAGGCAGATCACGAGGTCAGGAGATCGAGACCATCCTGGTTAACACGGTGAAACCCTGTCTCTACTAAAATTTTTTACCAAAAAAACAAGCAGGTGCAGGTGCTCATGCCTGTAGTCCCAGCTACTTGGGAGGCTGAGGCAGGAGAATGGGGTGAACCTGGGAGGCGGAGCTTGCAGTGAGCCGAGATCACGCCACTGCCCTCCAGCCTGGGCGACAGAGCGAGATTCCATCTCAAAAAAAAAAAAAGATTACATATCCTCACGCAGATGAATTCCATTTCATAGGAACCTTTACACAACCCAAACCTGATTAGGGCATCCACCAAAATATAGGTTCCGTCACGCTTGCCCACCCCACCACATTATGTAACAGGAGAAAGATGGTCAGTCTACAGGAATGCATCCTGTAGTCGTCACGAAAAGGGAAAGTGAGGCCAGCCGTGGTGGCTCACGTCCGTCATCCCAGCACTTTGGGAGGCCAAGGTAGTTGGATCACCTGCGGTCAGGAGTTCGAGACCAGCCTGGCCAACATGGTGAAACCTTGTCTCTACTGAAAATACAAAAATTAGCTAGGCAATTAGCTGGGTGTCTGTAATCCCAGCTACTTTGGAGGCTGAGGCAAGAGAATCGCTTGAACCCAGGAGGCAGAGGTTGCAGCGAGCCAAGATCACGCCATTGCACTCCTGGGCAACAAGAACGAAACTCCGTCTCAAAAAAAGAAAAACAGGCGGTGGGGAGGGAAGTGAAACAACACGGAAAGGGAGAACAACTTTGCCACATTTAAATTATTTAGAAAATGACCTTAATCAGAGGGTGGCCCAGCCCCTGCAGCACCCACAACTCAGGTTACTTGAATTGGAGCCTAGTTTCCCCTGATTATCTCGCCTTCTTTGTTTAACTAGCAGGCCTGGCTGGAATATGCTACAGGTCTACAGTCAATGGGTTCTGTCAAAGTCCCTGTGGAAGGAGGGGCCTGAGTCCTCTGCCCAAGCCTACCAAGTTGGCATGGAGGGGGCAGTGGAGACCCAGGAATGGCGCTAAGGCACTGGAGACCAAGCTCCCAGGCCAGAGAGCAGCCTGGAAAAGAGCCCTGGAATGCCGGCAACTGTGGACCAGGCAGGCGGAGGTTCATGTGCACCTGTGCTCAGCACGCACCACTGAAGTCAAACCACCCAACACTGAGATACAATCACTGCAGCAAAACTTCACAGCGCCGAGGCCACACCAGAACCCTCAGCTCCATCAGGCCAGAGGGCATGGTTCAGGGCAAGTTCAGACAGCCAGAGCTTAATCGCAGTGGCCTTGGCCTTGAGGAGGGAGTTTCCTGGGTGACCTGGACATTTGGTCAAGGGCTCATGAAGCCAGACCCATCAGGCTAGCTAAGCATTTATACGCAAACCCAACCACGTCAATAAAAATATATTTGTGGGCCGGGCGTGGTGGGTCTAGTCTGTAGTCCCAGCTACTTGGGAGGCTAAGGCTGAGGCAAGAGAATGGCGTGAACTCAGGGGGCGGGGCTTGCAGTGACACTACATTGCGCTACTGCACTCCAGCCTGGGCGACAGAGCGAGACTCCGTCTCAAATAACAAAAATACACACACACACACACACACACGTGTGTGTGAAAAACCCTGGTAAACTGAGTCTACTCCAGTGACAGTGGCCAGATTCCTATGAAGGACATTAACCGTTAGTCAAGTTTTTACGTGATGGACCCTATTTCCTCACACATTAGATAGAGATTACTGTATTTCGTTATTATTTACACAACTGTTTGCCCTAAGCTGCTTTCTTTTATTCTCTATAACTTCTTTCCTCTGTCTTACGTGGAATTAACATTTAAATTGAGTAACAGAGAACTCCCAGCACCCCTTCTCACTTAAGGGGTGCTCCTCTTTGTCAGAGACTGGAAACAACCAATCTTGGGAGAGACTCCCGTACTCGGGGGCTCCCTGGGCCGGGAGCCGGGGGTGGGGGGGGGTGGTGCCAGTGGGTGTGTGGGTGTCTGAAGTTCAATGTTCCCTCCCAGGCTGAATTCAGCCTTCCCTGATGGGTCTACAGATGTTTTTTGGTTGAACTCAGTGTCTGCTACACTGCTTGTGTATGAAGGTCACACAGCAGACAGCCTGGCAAACAGTGTCCCCAACAAGACGAGTGATTTTCTTTTTTTTTTTTTTTTTTTGAGACGGAGTCTCGCTCTGTCGCCCAGGCTGGAGTGCAGTGGCCGGATCTCAGCTCACTGCAAGCTCCGCCTCCCGGGTTTACGCCATTCTCCTGCCTCAGCCTCCCGAGTAGCTGGGACTACAGGCGCCCGCCACCTTGCCCGGCTAGTTTTTTGTATTTTTTAGTAGAGACGGGGTTTCACCGTGTTAGCCAGGATGGTCTCGATCTCCTGACCTCGTGATCCACCCGTCTCGGCCTCCCAAAGTGCTGGGATTACAGGCTTGAGCCACCGCGCCCGGCGACGAGTGATTTTCATGTCATTTCACCTGGCTGCCTCTAGCAACCTGGTCACATAACCTGGGCAGAGACACATGGCCACGGACAGAAAAGGCACTGAGCTTCTTCAATCAACAAAATGGGATTTCTAGTCTAAAGCAATTTTTGAATTATGATCCAAATGCAAGGTGCATGAGTCAACTTTTAACACAGGTCCATTTAGAAGACCGCTGCTCCTGGGGAGGTAAGACCCCTGGGAACCATGCCGGCATCGACCAATTACCTGAGGGCCATCAACTGAAACAGACTTCCAGCTCGGCTTTCAGTTTTATTTATTTGGTCCTTTCAGATTCAACACATCTGTCTCAGGGTCCACAAAACCTTGGCAACTCAAGACTGGAAAAACTACAAAGATCTGGGCAGCTTGCGACACTCACCTGTTTTCTAGGATTTGGCCAAGGCTGCTGCCTTTACTTGCTTTAGGAGATTATGAAGTTTACAAAGAATTAGGACTGAATCTACCCTAGTGTGACACTGCGCCGTAAATATTTGGAGTTCCTGGCATTAATTTCCCAAATCCTTGGAATCTCCAAAGCAGTCTTTTGTATGCTAATGACTGACACTGGCAGCCCCCAGGCAGTGGGAGCCTAGGGACTTTCAGCCCCACCCTCCAACCTCAGGAGGAAGGGAGGGGACTGAAGGTTAAAGTGATGATCAATGGCTTAATCTACCATGCCTACATAATGAAGCCTCCATTAAAACCTGTAAGGACCAGGTCACAGAGCTTGTGGAGAGCTGAACATGTACCAGGTAGGTGGTCCGCAGAGGGCACGGAAGCACAGTGCCTCTTCCCCCACATCTAGCCTTACAGGTCTCTTTATTCATAGCCTTTGTAATATCCTTTATAATAAACTGGTGTTTCCCTGAGTTCTGTGAGCCATTTCAATAAATTAATCGACCCCAAAGAGGGGGTAATGGGAACTCCAACTAGAGGCTGGTTGGTCAGAAGCTACCAGGACCTGGACTTGCCACTGCTGTCTGGGGTGAAGGGACAGTCTTGGGGACTGAGCCCTCAAGCTGAGGAAATTTACCTCCAGGTGGATAGTGTCACAGATAAGCTGGAGGACACCCTGCCGGTGTGTGCTACAGAACTGATTACTTGCTTGATAGTAGGGGTAGACCTCCCTTTACGTCTGGTCATATAAGTCTTGCGTTGGGAGGCCGGGCGCGGTGGCTCACGCCTGTAATCCCAGCACTTTGGGAGGCCGAGGCAGGCGAATCACGAGGTCAGGAGTTCAAGATCAGCCTGGTCAACATGGTGAAATCCTGTCTCTACTAAAAATATAAAAATCACCCAAGCGCAGTGGCAGGTGCCTGTCATCCCAGCTACTCGGAAGGCTGAGGCAGGAGAATTGCTTGAACCCAGGAGGTGGAGGCTGCAGTGAGCTGAGATTGCACCACTGTACTCCAGCCTGGGAGACAGAGCAAGACTCCGTCTGGGGGTGGCGGGGGTGGGAAGAAGTCTTGTGTTGGTTGTTGCGTGGTGAGAGAGCAGAAGAAAAAACAAAAATGTGAGTTTCTTCTTAACACTTAGGCAATGACAATGCGTCTACCATAAGAATGTTCTATAAAATGCACATATTTTACTCAAGGCAACTCTACCCCTCAACAATGTAAGTATTTGGCTCATCTTCTACAAGCAGCTTTGGGGTCACCTGCAGCTTTGGAGTCACTGAAGGCAATATGGTTTTGGATGTTTCCTGGGCAGCTGCTTTCACACAGACCTCCTCCTAGCAACCCTGTGCAGGGGGAAGGCGTGCAAAATACTCAGTAAAAAAGGTTCTTTCTGCATCAAGGACTGCTGTCTGCCTGTGGCAGCAGAGTCCCTAGGACTGCTCAACAGAGAGACAGAGACCAGAAACCTGGGGCCAGGGAGACTGGGCAGGAGGCCAATCCAGGACAAGGGGCAGAGGGCCACCCTAGGCCTATGGAAAGGCAATGGGGCTGCACGGACCCAGACCTGACCATGAACCAGACTCAGTAGATGCTAACAAAACTTAAACGTGGGGCACTTTGGGAGGCCAAGGTGGGTGGACCACCTGAGGTTGGGAGTTCGAGACCAGCCTGGCCAACATGGCGAAACCCCGTCTCTACTAAAAATACAAAAAATTAGCCAGGTGTGGTGGTGGGCGTCTGTAATCCCAGCTACTCGGGAGGCTGAGACAGGAGAACTGCTTGAACCCAGGAGATGGAGACTGCAGTGAGCTCATGACATTGCACTCCAACCTGGGCAACAAGAGCTAAATTCCAGCTCAAAAAAACAAAAGCAAAACTTAAATGCAAGATGTGTACTTTCCATGAGGCATAAAGGGGCATCATTTGTCGAACCCTCAGCCTCCCAGGTGCTCTGATTCTAGAACAGCACCGACAGCCCAAAGGATGGGCATCATGGGCCCTCTTGGTTTTCAAGTGGATGGAGAAGGGAAGATGTAGCTTTTAGAGTCCTGCTTATACACATTTGAAATAATAATGTATTTATGTGTATAAACAGGAACTTGAAAGCTGCAACAGACTGCTGTTTACTCACATTAAGACTTACAAACGTGCAGCCCAACCAAGGGCTCACGCCTGTCATCCCAGCACTTTGGGAGGAGGCTGAGGCAGGCAGATCACTTGAGGCCAGGAGTTCGAAACAGCCTGGCCAACATGGTAAAACCCAGTCTCTACAAAAAGTACAAAAATTATTCGGGTGTGGTGGTGCACACTTGTAATCCCAGCTACTCGAGAGGCTGATCAGCACACAAAAACCACTTGAACCTGAGAGGTGGAGGTTGCAAGTGAGCTGAGATTGTCACTGCACTCCAGCCTGGGCCATAGAGGGAGACTCTGCCTCAAAAAAAAAAAAAAAAAAAAAGACGAGCAAATGTGCCATTTCCATTGACAAACCAGCTTCAAGCAGCACAGCTGGAGGCAGAGGTGGGCCAGGGAGAGCCAGTGTCATTCACACACTCCCTGTCACTACCTTCTTGGGTCAACCTGAGCATGGGGGGGATCTTTTACTCTGATGGCAAAACTCAGCGCTCCAACAGCCTGGAGCTGTACAGCTGACAACTGGAGTCTTGGATGTCCAAACACAATCTTGCTTTTGGAAACTCACTCAAAATAGGATACAGGAGAGGCGGAAGCTCACCTGGCCTTTCTTTTTAGTTTTGTCCTAACATACTGTGTTGGGAGGGCAAATGTCTGCAGTCTGGCACAGCAGATTAGATATCAAAGGAAAACAGTTCCTGTGTTCCAATTTCTCAATACTTTGGCCATTGTCTAAGTCTAGCCTGATCCAAGACCCTGGGCAGGAGCTTTTGACAGCTTTTGACGGGCTCTCCTTCACTGCCTAACATGTTAACCCTTTCACCCAGAGGGCAGTTTTACAAAGCATATTCCCATGTGCAATTTGCAGGGACATCAGGGGTTACAGCATTTGGAGATCCAGTTCCATCCATGACTCTCGACAAAGCCTTCAAATTCTGTGCCCCAGTTTCCCTATCTATAAAGCGGACGTAGAAAATGTGTTATTAGACACTGCCTGCGCTTCTCTGGAGGAAAGCACTATGCTGTTAACCCTTAAACACCCTTAGGAGATGGGCCCTCATGGAAGCAAAAAAACCTCACCGGGTGTCAGGCTCTAAACCCCACGTGGACGTTCTTACTCTCTGGGGGTTATCTGAGAATCTGGTGAACACTTAGACCCTCTTCAGAAAAACATGTCCCACACCACACCAAACTTGCAGAAAGTTCTGGTAGCGGGGGGGATGATGTGGCGGCAGATGCCAGGTTCAGATCTCCGGCTCTGCAGGCTTTTTCGGGAACGTTGAGTCAGCTACGACCTTAATTAAAAATTGAGAAAACAGAAGCCCGCCCAAGACCCTTGGAGATGCTTCTTCACTGGGGGGCTACAACAGAGCCCACCCCCAGCATCCTGCAGCTTCGGACCACCGGCGGCAAACAAAAGCCTCAGCACCGCTCAGTCGGGGGTCTTCCCCGACCTCCGGGGAGGGCTCTGCGGAGCATGCGCCCTTGCACCCCGCCCCGGCGCCCGCCGCCCCCGCCTTCCCGGCGCGCGAGCCGGCGCAGGGCCGCACGGGGCATGCGCGGCGGCCGTCAGGCCCCGCCTCCCCCGGGCGCCGGAGCCGAGGCGGCGGGAACCTCAAAGCCCCGGTGCAAACGGCCGCTCCCCGCAGAGCGCCGGCCGCCCCCTCCCCGCGGCGCCCGGGCCCACCGCCGGCCACGGACGTGTGGCGCTGGCTGGCCGCTCCCTCTTCCAGGCCGGGCGAACTTACCGAGGTCCCCTTTCCCGGGGCGGGGGGGAGGGGCGCAGAGGGAGCCGTGGGGGCGGGGCCATGACCCCCTCGCGCGGGCTTCGGCCGCCCCTCCCCCGCCGCGGGCCTGGGCGCGCGCCCCAACCGCCAACCGCCCGCGCGGTGCCCGGGGTCGGGTAGGCCGCGGGCCGCGCGCCCCGGCCCGAGCCCTTTTGTTGCGCGGAGGCGGAGGCAATGATTCAGCCCGCGGCCTGTGCCGGCCCGGCCGCCGGGTGGGAGCGTGACGCGAGGAGGCCCCCGGCCAGAACGCGCGCCGTGCCGCGTCGCTGCCCCCGCCGGCCCTGGCCCTGCGTCCACCCGCCCGCCCTGCCCCTCACTCACGACGCGCTCCTTGGTGTGCTCGGGCTCGGTGATGACCACGGCCGCACCGCCCGCCTTGCCTGCCGCCGCCGGCCGCGCCGCGCGCTTGCCCCCGCCGGGGGTCCCGTCGAGCTCCAGGCCGTCTTCGTCGCCGCTGCTACCGCCGCCGCTGCTGCTACTGCAGCGCTCGGGCCGCTCGCGCTTCCTGCCCGCCGGGCCGCCGCGTTTCCTGGGCCCAGCGCGGGCAGTGCCGTTGCCCGAGCTCGGCTCCTCCCAGGCCGCCGCCGCCGCCTTCTTCCTGGGCATGGTCGCGGCTGGAGGGAGACACGGGGCAGCGGCGCACAATGGACGGGTTATAAACTGCGCGGGGGGAGGGGAGCGGAGACGAGCCACCCGGCCTCCACTTCCTCCCCTGCCCTCCCCAAAGTGGCGGCCGCAGGGTGGGCGGAGAGGGGGCGAGTTGGGAGAGGAAATCGCGCACCTCCCTGGCCCCGGCGCGGCTCCTTCGGGGAATCCCGCAGGGCAGCCGGGAGCCCCAGAGGCAACCCGCTGGAGGGAGAATGGAGACCCCCGGCCTATCCTTAAGTTAGGTTTGCCCACAAAGCATCGCAGTTGCAACCTCGCTCCCCCAAAAGTAAAGGGAAAGTAAAAGCAGCCTCCAGTCCCCTAGATTTTCATTAAAGAAGGCTTCGGGACACTTCCAGGATTCCCCCTTGGCACCTTGGGGGTAAGGGAGTCCCTGTTCCCCGGCCACCCCACCTGCTGCTTTTGTCTCCGCAGCCTCCCCCCCAAACCCACTCATCGCATTTAATGCAACACTCTTCCCCCACCCCGTGTCAGCCCTGGACCCCCGTTCGGCCCCAGCTCAGGGGTTCCGACCTCGGGCTCTAGTTGGCTGAATCCCTCAGGCAGACTGCCCCGGGCGACGGGGGAAGAGCCCGAAGAAAGCCGGACCCCAGCCCCAAACACCTGCTCGCACAGACACGAAAAATAAAAACTTTAATGGTGCCCAACTCTCTCCCAGCCCCCTTGCCGGCCGCGCGGTCCGGCCGGTCTCCGGTCCGAATGCAAAGTGCCCAGGGCCGCCACCAGCTCCCCGGCGTCCCTGCGCTCTCCCCTGTCTGCTTTTTTTTTTTTTTTTTTTTATTGATTTTGAACAATGGGATCTCTGTCTGTCTCCGATTAAACCACGTGGATCCGCCTTCCTTCCTCTTTTTATTGCTTCAATCACCCAGCCCCCCCCTCCTCCAGGTTTTTTTTTTTTTAACCTTTTCTCTTTAAAAAAAGGAAAAAAAAAAAACTTTCCCAGACCCCACAAACTGATCACTGCCGATTTTCAGACCCTACCTGGTTGGAGTGATGAGAAACCGGAGAGAAAAAAGGAAGAGAAGCAACTAAAAGATGGATCGGAGGGCTTTTTTTTTTTCCGGCCCAGACAAGGGCTCCAGCCCACTCACCAGATACACTTAAAATGTAAATACGAGCTTCCAGAACAAATGCTACAACACAAAACAGAAACACATGTGCGGCCGCGCGGCAAGCGAGCGCGCGGCGGGGCAGGAGGCGCGGCCCGGGGCTGCGCGGCGCCCCCTGCCGGTCCGGGACCCGGCCCGCGCCGGCGCCCCCCCCCGGCCCGTCGCCCACCGAGCCTGCGGCCCGCGCCGCGCGCCACGCCGCCCGCCTCGGCTCCGCGCTCCTGGCCTTTCGCGGGCCGCCGGAGCGCGCCTCGGGCCTTCCACGCCAGTGCGGGCCTGGACGTCAGGATGCTTTGCTGTTGGCTTAGGAGGATGCTGGATTGTTTTTCCTCGGGCCACGGTCGGTAGACAGGTCACCTGGGACACTCGCCTGGCAAGATAGTTCTACTTCGCCATCGCAGCAGCAACCAAGGGATCGTGCCCTTAATAGATGTGATTGGAATGAAAGATGAATACAATTTGAATAATTTTTCCTGTGCAGAGAGAGCTGAGTTTATTTGCCTATGGATGTGTCCTCAGTATGTAGCAAAGATGCTGTGACACGGAAGAATGGACATACAAGGTTTGCTGTATTCGTGGAATTAATTCATAATTTTGAGGGGCCGTTGAGGCACTGGAGCTGGTTTTGAGGGGAATTTTTCATTTTTGACAAATATTTACTGAGCCCCGCGGTACATGCAAGGACCCACAGTGCCCCGGGCTGCAGAGCCAGGGAACAAGGTTTGCACCCTAGTGGAACGCACAGCCTAACGGAAGACAGATCAGTAAACAAGCAATTACAAGAGTGATAAGCTTTACAAAGTTGATGCCTTGTTGTAGCAAACAGTGTATGGCGGACGGGGGATTTA